AATGCTCTCTCACTTTTCCCGTCTCTAGTGGCCAGGTGCATCTGTTATTTGAAAAACCTTTGAAAGGCTGTAAGCTCCCAGCTAAACAGCACCCTATGGATAGGAAGCTGTACATCTCAACGTACTGTTCGTCCTCTCCTAAGAGGATAGGGACAAAGCAGCTCTCGGGATTGCAAGAGACAAGAAAGGGCTGAAAAAAACCCCAATTTTATCCAATACCCATCACAAACCCCCAAGGAAGAGGGCAGCACTACCCAGATCGCTGACTTTAGCTAACCAGCTGCATCCAAGCCCAACACAAACTCTGTTAGTTCAAGTACCAATCTGTTTAGTCTGTGCAAAAGCAGAATACTGGCATCTTATTTACAAGAAATGGTGCAATTAAACAGGATGAAAGAAAAGGAAGGAACAAGCAACTAAATAAGCGGTAAGAACTGGGACTTACAGAGCTGCTTCAATTAATGTTTTTTCAAACACTTTGCATGGCAAGAGAGAACAAAATGCTCAAGACACACACTCAGGGTTTGCATAGAGTGCATACCGCTTTCACATCTTTATAATACAAAAGTTAGAAAGAAAAAGTTGTGGAAAAATTACGGCTGGTGTGATGGAAGGGACAAGCTGTGGTACACTGCTACCATAAACTACTTCACTCAGCTGCTTTACTGGCCTCTTTCAATCATTTCTCCAGACATTTGTCTTCCCCAGCGCCAAGTCCCATTCTTCTCTCAGGCCAGACACTGACCAACAGTTCACCATTCATCTGTCCCCAGAACTTCTTTCTCTGTCATCTGTAAAGCCAAGTAAGGAGCTCCATACATGCCCAACCTCCTCTCTGGGAGAGCAGGAGCACACTACAGAGCTCCCTAGTTTGTTTCTCAGCACTTCTGAGAGCTGTGCTGCAACACATCAAGCAGAAGATGCTCAAGCAGGAGCTGGACAATGGCATCACAGACTTGGAAATGGCATCTTAGAAATTGTAGTGAAAGATGTGTGAATGTTTCAGCTTTTGGGTCCTTGGTATGAATGCTATCTTATTTCTCCCCTTCCCCAAAGGAAGCCATTTCCAGCTTGATTTTGGAGTATTAAATCTACAAGGCAGTCAGCTATGAAGACAGGACTCACTTGCAACCAATACATAGCACATCCATAAAGATTTTGTAAGATTGTGTGTGTGTGTGTGTATGCATGTGTATGCATGTGTAAAATGCACTTGTTTGAAAAGCAAATTATTTTCTTCCAGTGTGCAATTTGTTTTTTCTGCTCTGGCTGCCCCTGTGATAAAGGAACAACACTGTGCCTGTACTAGTCCCCTGTCATGACTATTAACTAGTCCTGAATAGAACGAAAAAAACAACCAACCAAAAAAAAAAAAAAAAAAAAAAAAAAAAAAAAAAAAAAAAAAAAGAAAAAAAAAAAAAAAGAAAAAAAAAGAAAAAAAGTAGTCTTCAAGACAGTTTCACTGCTGTACAGGATGCTCACCAGAAAACAACAGATGTGCTATAATCACTACTGCCCATTCATTTCCTTTCTGCCAGAAAGAAAGCAGCAGTCATCAATTATGAAGCCCTATCTACAGGACACAAAAGGAAGTATACACTTCTCCTTGGTCACTTGACTGCAACAATGGGAGATGGCAGCGGGAAAGGACTGACCGCTCCAAGCAAGTGTGGCAGGGGGAAAGCAGATAGGTGTGAGTGAGCTTGTTTCTTTGGATTTAAAAAAAATATATATATGTATAAGAATTTTTCTTCCAACACTTTAATATACAAATGTTTAAAAATTAAATCACTTTGCCTACAAGTTGAACAAAATCCTAATTATATAATTTCTGAACGCTTTCAGACAATTCATTTACACCTTTTCACAGCAGAAAATCCCAAACATGGGAACTGACAAGAGAATTAAGCAGCCTCTATCTGGAAAAGCCGTTTTTGCAATTAACAAAGGCCTTTCTGAAACAGTTATCACAATTTTTATAAAAACATTAGTCTAAATGTACTAGGTACATAGAATTTCAATACATCGCTGGCATAAATTATTTGGATTAGCATTTTTTAAGAAGTCTAGTCAGATCTTGAATCCTCCCATTAAAGATTATGTTTGCTGGTCAGCTTCATCGCTCTGAAATAGAATGACAGCTTTCATAAAACTGCCAGTAACAGAAAACCCTAGAGATGGGCTTTATATTATGTCTGTTCCACAACTGTAGTCAGCCACAAAGGGTTTGAAGGAAACTTATTAAAAATGTGAGCCTTAATTAAGGTATTAGGCCCTAATCTAGCATGCTAAATTAAACCCCAAATATTCCCATGGATACTAATGCAACTGCTCTAAGAGCTTGGTAGGCACTTTCCACAATAGGAAAGCTTTTACAGGCCTTCACGTTGCAACTGAACCCTTATTTTCACTCTGTACCTCTGTTTCATTGCATACCAAAAATAGACCCAACTTAGAGAAAAGCTCATATGTGGGCATAGGATCATTCCTCTCCACCCCCACACAGATTTGCAAGCCCTCACAACACTAAAGGCATGACCTAAACAAAGCATTCAGTGATGCACAAATGCTCGAGGAATTTTTTTAATGTATTGACTTTTAGCATAAACACACTGCATATTAAAAGTCACACAGAATTGTCAGAATACAGTATATTGATCTAATGTTTCCTTCGCTGCTACAACATTTTATGATTTAATAGATGCTGAAGCCCATTTCAATCCTTCTAAAGATATTCTAACCACCAACTTATTGAAACAATTAAAAAAAATATTATTGTAATATAAGTCAAATGGACAACAGCAAATTAGAAAAAAATTTCATAAAACATTTTCCCCCACCACCCCCAAAAGTTTTTCAGAATGAAAATATTCTTAGTTATTCCAGATTTAAGCCTGACATGTAAAGCAAACTTGGCAAAATTACCGGTGGTTATTTGGTAAGATTCAACAGCCATCCCTCAAAACTCTATCTGCCTAAACCATTGAGCTCCTATTTTTACAGAGCACCAGTTCTCATATTTTGTGTTTCTTCCTTCTTTCCCACAAAATTAATTCCTTACAATATGCACTTCATCTAGTCCTTGAATGCCTTATCCCCTTAGTTGATACATTCCCACACACTCCAGCTTTGTTGACACAACAGTTTTTTTAAGCACTTCACAGTGAATGCTTCTCTGCCAGGGATCCCAAAGAATCTTAGGAAATCCTCTGCATCTTGGGCTACAGGCACAATCCATGTTATCTCCACTTTCAGAAAAGAGGTTATTCGAGTCTGTTGGTCTGGTTGGCTTTTCTGTTCATCATGAAAACAGAATAAAACCACTGCAACTCAAAACCAAGGCCAAGCAGCACAAATGAAATGAAATGGAGATCAGGAAAGGGGGAGAGTTTGTGCAAATAACTCACTCTAAGGTCACTAGGCAAATACTTTGCATGCATTTGGATATGCACAAACTTCAAGCTAAATAAATAAAATTATTTCCTGTGTGGAAGATGGGAATGTACAGCCCCTCCACGCTTGTGGATAAAAAAATATGCCAGTAATTAACTATCAGCAAATAACACAGAGAACTAGTGTACTGAATTTAGGTCATGCCAATTATTTTTCTCTAATGCATGTTTAAACATGTAACCTTATTCAAATCTTGCTATTTTTGGAAAAGACTGAAGAGGAATTTCTGGTCTTTCCTCTTGCAGTCTCCACAAAACGTTTTTCTACTTACAGAGACTGTTCTCCCTTGGATCCAAAGGAAAGTAAGATCTCACTAATGTTTGTCAGATGTAAACTTCAATCTAATGCTACACAGCCCTGCAAGTGTCTCTCTATTACACTTATGCAATCTCAAAGCATTGAAATCAAAATAAAGTTGATATTCTTCTAAAATTTAATCAATGTTTGAGCACAATTGGATCATAACTACATGCTACAAAATTATATTACAAGCCCCACTATCAGCAAGGTAAAAGAATAAATATTATTTATTAGTGGTCTAATATAGCATATTAGTATTCCCTCTGAAGGACACAGAAGCCAGAGGGGTAATTAACATAATGCATCTTTCTTTTTTTTTTTTTTTTTAATTAGAAACTTATCTATCCTACACTGGTTTCAACAGTGGCACTGCAAGGAGCAAAGTATATTACCTATAATGCATCAAGTTTTTTCAAATAGCAGTGTCTGAGTTGTTAGCCACTGAACGTCTGCTTTTTTCAGAGAGAAGAAAAGATTCCTTTAGGTTAGCACAAGGAATCTTGTTGGAGAGGAGGAGAAAGGGATCTTGCCTAAAGCTCTCTTATTTAATATTGTCTGCAGAGTCTCCTTCCAGCCCTATTGTGAAGCTTTCTGGAATGTCAATTTGTTTCAGATAATCAAAGGAGTGAAATCAGTTATTGCAATCAGGTTACATTTCCACGGCATGTAAACCTGCTTTTCCTACACTCCCAAGTTCCTTAGATGCTCCAAGACTGTCAGGCAATGAGATTATGTAAACAAATCACTAAAATAATAAGCTAAAATGACATAGACTAACATGGGAAATCTCAGGAGAACAAAGTTGTCCTGGATCTCCCCATCCCCATAGGGAGACAATTGTTTCTCCATGGAAGTGGCACTTTTACTTCCAAGGAGAGAGAATCAAGCAACCGAACAAAATTTCATCTACAGATCTTTAGCAAAACCTCAGTTTCAGAAACAAAGGCTAAAACTGAACAGTTAACCTCCCATAACTGCTTAGGTGCTCCCCCCAAAATGGGATTTAATTAGCATAAAATCCCAATAGTGTGCACATGAGGAACACCCCCTCTCCTGGCTAACCCACACGCCAGGCCCGTTCAGCACAGTGACCTACTGTGGGCTTGGATACTGAGCAGCCTCATGGCTAACCTGAGGCACATTCACCATACACCAGTGGTAATCCTCTCAGTCAGAGGCACACCAAACATCATCTCACATTTAAAATAAAGTTTAAATTAAAAAGTTAAAGAGTAAAAAAAATTTACCTGGTAGAGTACTCACCGAATATATCGCTGTTACGTTGGGCAAAATGGAGTCACTTTTCCTCTCCTCCGTTGAGTCTCTGGCATTCTGCAGGAAGGACGGTGGAAATCATGGAATTAGAGAAAGGATGAAAGGGAGCTCAGCTGCACGGCTCAGCAGGGGTCTAGGCACACCTCAGTTTATTCCCCCTAAGTCACGCTCACCATACGTACACCTCCCATTCTGTCCTAAAGAGCTGAATAAAACATAGCACGGGCTGAATCCAGTTCAGACAAGCTAAGGAGTCAGATTTTGAATAGGAATTAGACACTAATGTGATTCTGAAAATCCCATTAAGAGCCTTTACCACCTCTGCCTAGCTACATATCTTTAAAAATCTGGATCAGACAGCTTGTCTATGGTCGTGCTGTATGCCTGTGCTGAAGCAAGGAAGTACTGCTGGGCTCCCAAGCTCTAAAGCCCAAGGGCTTCAGGCCACACTCCTGGAAATTGTTAAAGCTGATTTTCAACATAATTATCTTTAATGGCTGGAAACCTCTATTCAAATGAGCCCCCACTTCCCTGGTAAGCAACATCAGTGGCCTACAAAGTACATCAGAGACATGGGTCACTGTGATCTGCCTGGTGCCTCCATCAAATCTAGGTATTTGCCGAAGATCAACAAAGCACGAAAAACATCTGAACAAAAATAGTGTTTCTCCTACCAAACCCAGCTATTTAAGTAAAACTGCAGTGCAGCTTTTTCTCACAAAATTTATTAGCCTGCTTTGAAGCCTAAAAATGGAGGATTTTTGATTTAACAAGGGAAAGAACTCATTCCCTCTATTAAACTTGTAACCCCTCCCAGCCTCAGCAGAATATCAACTGGAACTGAACAAGGATACCTTTTTTATTATTTTCATTTCTCTAAGATACTGCTTTACGTTTCCCTTTTCTAGAGTATCCAACATTAATTCATCTCTCCTTCTGTGCTATTTTTGTGCCATGAACTGAGCCAAAGGTGACAGTGAAGAATCCACAGAAACTGAACATCAAATGTTTCTGTTCTGAACTTTCAAGAAACTATTTAATATCTTTCTTCTTTTTTTATATCATCATAAGGCCTGTTTATATACTTGAAGTGGAAACAGTGCACATTCAGCTGCAATTGATTTCCTGTATGGCAAAATACCTCAGGCATTCAGCTGGCTGGGAACACTATGGAGGCCTCTTACCATCATCGGGTTTTTTGAGACTGGGAAGCTCTGCCCAATGCTTGTTCTTACGCCAGAATAAATGAGAGACCCTGCTAAGTGTCCAAGTTAATTTGGTCTAGCTGAACCAAATCACAAACAGGCAAAATTTTCTATTTCAAAAACCCATTTCAAAAATACTGGTCTATTTTTGATTTCAACAGTAATGCCATCAATTCAATCTTGCTAATGGGGGCATAATGTTCATCTACACATGAACACATTTTTAAATGCAAAAAACTAACACATCTGAAATTTTCTTTTAATGAAATATCAAGATATTTGCCATCTCCATGCTGTCTTTATAGCAATAAATTAACACTACAGGCAATTTCACAGACTAAAAGAGTATATTTTTTTTCTTTTGATATCCCTGAGTGACAACCACAGTAATAATTTTATTTACTTCATTTAGTTTTTCTTTTTAATAACTGAAGACACAGAGTAGTCTCCACTAACATTTCTAGGAATCTGAAGAAGGAAATACATGAGTAGTCTCACCGAGTTCCTGTGATTAGACTGTAACAGCTGTAACATTCAAATGCCCAACCACCTGACTGTACTTCAGATTGTAAATTAAGCAAAACAGAAATGCAAAGTGACCTATAATTACCATCCTGCTTTCCACTTATCATGGAAGTTTCCCTAGCCTCAAATCCTCCAGCGTCAAAGGACTCAATTTCAACTGCTTGAGAACCCAGTTTCTTTAAGAACCCTAGAAAAAACCAGACTGACAATATAACCATTTAAATATACACACATTTGTGTGTGTATATATATATATTATATACATTATATATAAATAAATGAAAATTAGGAATCTAGATAACTTTGAAGAAGCCTAAACTTTTTACTGGAGCTCTCTTGTTGGACAGTAGTTTCATCAACAACAGTTTCTTAATTCTAGGGTAAAATTATTTGCCAAAAGCTGAGGTGTTCTCTAACCCCCAGCAGATACAATGCACTTTCAAAACCTTTCAACTGATGATCTGAGACAGGGTCTTACAGTCACATCCAACTTGATGAAATACAAGCTCTTGGATGCTACAGAATGTTCTATCAGCCTTCTTTACCTTTTTCAAAAAGGTTTTCTACAGGTTTTACTATCCTCATACTATTGAACAGGACAATCTGTAAAGAAAATGAATTTTTCATCCTGTGAAATCTTTTTAATCCATTCAGTGGTTTATTTCTTAACCATCAGTGTAAGAAAATTGAACACTTTTGTACTAGAAAAACTATCATGAAGAAAAGATGCTGCATGTTTCCTTCAAGAAAGTGATTAACAAATATACCGTCATTTGCCCTGTAATTTCCATTTCATCTTTAAAAAGTTTGCATGATTTAAAATAGTCTTAGTTAGTCTAGAAATATATCACAGTTATTAACAAAAAGCTTTACTTCTTAATCACTTTTAGAAAATACACAGGATTAAAGCATCAAGCACATAGCAGCTTAAGAAGCAAAAGCACCAAAGAAACCTGCATTCAGATATTTAAACTGACTTGAACCATAATGTCTGCACGTCTTCTGAGAGACACGTTGGAACTTGGAGTTCACACTATAATGTTAAATTAAAAGCCCAGAAGTTTGAAAACTATCTTTCAAAATGCAGTAAAATTAAGGTGTTCATTTTTGAGGCATACTCTAGTATACCTGGGAGGCAAGCAAAATAATTTTCAATAAGATGATGGGTGCTTTACTTTATCCCTTAGGAGTCACTGAGATTATCTTTACCTCAGTTTCCCTAAAAAGTGTAAATGACATATAACCCTTGTGTTCTACACACCCTCTCAGTGTGGTAAAAGCTAACATTATCACTTTAGTCCAGTTAACGGGTTCCCTCAAATCATGAGGTCTGAGCTTTTAAATCTCTGCTTTTAAAGAATTTCCTTATCCTGTTTCAGCTAGGCTAAAAGACCACAGTAAGCCAGAGCCACCCAACTACATGCAATTGTGTTCCACAAACTTACAGGTAGGAATTTGCTTCCATTTCAAGTAGGATATCAAGACATTCATTCCATTCACTGGCATTCCTGCTCTCACCTAGTCCCCAACCCCACCTCACATCCATTCAGCTCCATCCTTACAATTTGGATTATATTGTGTATTGCACATAATAAAATTGTGTCAACACATACTGTAGCATTTTAAAACAAATACTCTTGCCAAACAATTCCGCACTCACCCTCTAAGAAAAGCTTGGAATAAAATTCTTTGTAGATGTTCACATGTGCTAGACAGCAAACCATTGTGCAAGTTTAATCACCAGAGAGGAGGACTAAAGTAAAAATTTATTTGACATGACTTTTACTGAGCTGTGTGCCAGTTCCTTAAGCCCAACTTTTCTGGCTAAGGAATGCAGTTTGCTCTTACAGGAAGGCCACATACTGTAGCACCTTCTCACTGCACGACACAACTGATTAACAGACGGAAAATGCGCCACATCCCAAGCAAAAGGATTTATTCCACATGCAATCAGCTGAGAGCTTTCCCAGACACATTAAGCTAATTTCATGGACTAAGTTCATGCAGCGCTCCTGGAGTTTCTTTCACTCTATCCATTCACAACAGTGAACAGCACAAAGGCGAGTTGCATGACAAGGCCAACAGCTAAGTGAGTCTTTGCCAGACCTCCTCCAGACCATCCCTGCTATGACCTCAAACTGTCCCCAGAAAGAAGTCAGCACTGGGCAAGTATGGGCATAGACCAGTCACTGTGATCCAGATACCGGAACTAATCACCCCCTCATATGACTCAATATTCATAATTAACAAATAAAAGGAACCAACCCGGTGCATTTTCCTGAAATCATCAGAAGATGGGCATCACTGATCCTCTATTAAATATTGAAAGAATTCTGTGCAACACTGATGCTGACTTAAAGAGAAAAAGGGAAAAAAAACCCCATAACATTTAGCGGGCAGACTCCTTATCGCTACAAGACAGCAGCAATGAAGAAGCACCCAGATGGCCCTAGCATCCAGACCCCTGTGGAAGCTTCAGGACCTGCATGATGCAGCTCCTGGGTGGGCATAGCCAGGGTGGGCAGGTGCATCTGTCAGGTGTGTATGTCAGCACTGTCCCCTTGAGATGAAAGAGAGCCACAAACAACAAATCTTCAGTGACAAAGGCTGATGACCAGCTTTTCTTCTGAAGAGAGCAAATGAAATCATCATGGTTTTGTTTTTTCAGAATTCTTCCTTGAAAAGCAGCCATAGCCCCTATCCTATCCAAACAGCAAGCAGTGGTGTCTGGGAGACACCACTTTCTCCTCCATATCCTACCTGTGCATGTCACAGGTCCCAGTCACATCAATGCTTCACCAAAACAGGGCAGAAAAAAAAAAATCACCTATTCTCCTTGCTTTGACCTTGTGGGAGTCTGAGTCAGTACCTATTTTGTGCTTTGGATGAACAAACTGCTTTAAAGGGGCCTGAGGAGTGCAAGAGCCAAATCTGTGTTTGAGAACAAAGGTTGTTTATCAGCAGGATGCTCTGCTGAAAGGCTGCAGAAAGAACTCTTCAGCATGGCTCCTTTTGGATCTGCAGTGTGCATGGCAGCAGCAGGACAGCCTAGGTCTAAGATGAAGAACACAAGTGACCCTGTCAGCGTGCACAGCCATGAGTGAGGAAGCACATCTGTGCTGGGAACAGGACACACTGCCAAGGAGAGAGCTGCTGCAGGTGAAGTGGCAAAGAGCAAACTGCAGTGGCTGAGATCACCAGGATGAGTCAGCACACAGGAGATCAGCTCTAAAGTTTGCCCAGCATGGCTTGTGCCTTAGCAAACCACTCTGTCCTTCACAGCAAGAGAAAAATGGGGTTTTCTTAGTGCTCTGGTCTGCACTTCCC